TTTTATCCGATTTAAATAAGAAAAATCTTATTTAAACCCCAAAAAATAGATTTTTAAAATTTTTACTTTAAAAATATAAAAAATCACCAACCCTGGTGCGGCGTTGTGACTGGGCCAGTCCAGTGATGAGTGTAGTGGGGCAGGCGGCAGAGAGAGATGGGGCGGAGACACACATTACGTGAGCAACTTCAACATTTAAAGCCTAGCCAAGGCCAAAAAGTAAAAGAAGAGGAGAGCGTATAGTGTGTGGTTTCCGATTCATTGAAAAAGGACGGACAGACTTTTCCAATAATACATTATACTTGTAGTTAGTGCTGAAGCTATCTCTATTCTTTTGAAAGAAAAGCTTGTTCTGTATGGGATTTTCATATGAATGAGCCTCCTTATGGTCTTCTGATTAAGTTCATGAATGAACGTAACAATGACCAATGCAATACACTTTGTAATGCAAGTCTCACCAGGACTACATTTTTCAACACTACAACTACTGGTATCTCATACTCACAGCAACCAAAAAGTTCATCAAGGACCACTCAAGGAAACCTCCCATGTTGTTTGTTAAAAACGAGTCAAATATTACTACTTACTATGCTATTGGCCCTGTTGTAAGGAAGGGCTTCCGTAACGAGCTACCACCCCAACAAACACAATAAAGAAGAGACCTAACCCTGACTCTACCCCTATCCCAACCCCCTAACCCAAACCCTGGGAGTGCAAACAAAGTGAGCCCGTCCCTGTTACGTCACCGTTCCAGCGTAAAAAAGGGGTTGTCACTGGAACGCGATGTACTGGGTGGCAAAATGTTTTCACCCGCCCCGTGCCCATTCCAGCGCTGTCGGCCTACTCCGGAACATGGCAGCTGAGATCTTGACAATTTTGTATTGTTTTAAAAAAGAGACGTTATTACAATAGGCGAAGACATTGGGTTCATAGAATCCACCTAGAGTGACAGAGAGGGAGAGAGAGGGAGAGGGAGATAGTGACAGTGAGAGTGACAATGAGAGGGATAGGGAAAGGGTGAGATAGTGACAGAGAGGGAGAGTGACAGAGAGAGAGAGAAAGGAAAAGGGAGAGTAACAGAGAGGGAAAGTGACTTGAATGGGAGAGGCAGAGTGACATAAAAGATATGATAAGATAAGATAAGATAAGATAAGATAAGATAAGATAAGATAAGATAAGATAAGATAAGATAAGATAAGATAAATCTTTATTGTCCAGGTTCTGGCACATTGGTTTGGTGTTTCACCACGTACACAAATACACACACACGCACACACACACAAACATGCACACATACAGTTTGCTTGCACTCACAAACAGGCACAGTCACATGCATTATAAATTAACAGTAATATAAACAGCACAACCTCCCAAAGTCCAACCCTTCATCCTCGTCGGGGGAGGTGGAAACAGGACAAAGTAGGGGATAGCTGGGTCTGGGTGAAGTATGGTGTGACTATATGTCATTGAGGCATTAAGCTAGTCGTGAAGGCCGACCCGCATCACCCCGAAACGTTGCTGGCTAAAGGGGCTCTGGTGAAACTGTGACTGGCCTAGCAAGCCGACAGCGGATAATTACTGCTACGAAACAATCAAAGGAGAAAACACGGACAGATGCAAACGGAAAACGACTAGGAAAAGTAAACGGACAGCGAGCTAGAACAACGATTAAAATAGGCACATGGAATGTCAGCGGACTTGGAGACAAAGAACCAGAAATAGTGAATTTCATAGAAAGAAAGAAAATAGCAAACATAGGCTTGTCAGACATAAGGAAGAGAGGCAACCACAGCAAGCTGACCCATAAAGGCTACTTCCTGATCTGGAGCGGAACACCTGAAAACGAGAGAGCCAAACATGGTGTAGCTTTTATCATACACCCATCCAAAATGGATACAATCTATGAAATCAATCAGATCTCAGAGAGAATAGTGAGCCTAAAACTCATAGAGGGTGGAAAAACAACAACATACATCCAAACAAATGCTCCCTGTAACGTCAGCTATACAGAGGAAGATAGACAATCATATTTCCAAGACCTGAGTGACCATATTAACACCATCAAGAACAAAGAAGATATATTTATCTAGGGAGATTTAAATGGCAGAGTTGGACGAACAAGAAACCCCTGGGAAGAGTACTTGGGACCCCACAGCCATAAAGATACAGACTGCAACAGCAAAAGAAAAATGATACTAAACCTATGCGCTGAGCACGACATGATGATTACGAACACATTTTCCTCACATAGACAAAGCCAAA